CACGCACCCTCTGTTTCCCCCTCAGCAACGCCACCGACGACCCGGAGCGTGGCCTTTTCTGGCGTCTTTATCGGTCTGTAACGGATGAGGGGAGCAAGGCGATGTTATTAAAATTCTATCTTCATATATTTTTTTCTGAGAATCTGCCTTTCTTTGTGGCTGATTTTTTTTCCTGTTAGACAAATGCTGGGAGACGGATTCAAATACGGCTTTGTCCTCTCTTGTATTTTTTCCCCCCTAACGCGTCGTGTGTGCCGAGTTATCGGAGGGGGAGGGTGAGGAGTAGCGGGGAGCTTCGCGCGGGGAAGTTTGGCTCCCGTCCACAAATGTCCCGGGTGCGGATTGTTTTAAAGCGACGGCAGCGGCTCAACAGCTCTCTCTGGCCGCGCGGGGACCCTCTGGGCGGGGCCTTGTCCACCACCTCCGAGTCCTCGCCGCTGGCCGCTGGACCCAGACTTGCTTTGCATTCGCGCGGACTTTCTTTTGCTCCGGCGTCGGCGGGCGCCGCGCCGCGCTGAAGCGCGATTCGGAATAGAATTTCCATTAATTTCCTATCAGAGAGTGGCCCGGGCATTTCCATCTGATATTACTAGACTGGTCTCACTAATGCCGGCGCCGCCGCCGAAAATAAAATGAGGCCGACAGACAGATAGACAGGCGGCGAGTACAAGGGGAGAAATTATATTAATAAAATAGGAGAAAAGGGAAAAGGAAAGAATGAAATATAAGTGAAACGACAGCGCCGCTGGCCGTGTCGGCACCCCGCGCCGCGTCGTCGCCCGAAGTGAAATTTCATCAGGCATGGCGGTGTGACGCGGGATGAGCCGTCCGTCCGTCCGACCTCGCTGTGTGTCAAAGAGCAGAGGGTCCCATGTCCACCCCGGCCCGCCCCGCCACGCCCCGCCACGCCACGCCCCGCACCGCCCCTCCTAGCAGCAGCGCGTCCGCTGCTTTCTCCTGCTCGCCAATGCCGTATTATTTCCCCATCCGTCCACTTTCACCCGCTGCTGAATATTCATCCTCTTGGGGAAGGAGACGAGGAGGAGGTGGGGGAGGGGGAGGGGGATGAGCCGAGCGCAGCAAGGCTTGGGCCTCTCCAGGACCACTCGGACCGGAAAAAGAATGGATGAAGAGTGAGGAAGCTGGCAGCGGCTGGGCCAAAGTCTTACGGCGGCTGCCCGTCTGCCCGTGCCCGACAGGGGGCCGTGGGCAGCGGCAGCACGGCGCCGTGGACCGGCGGGGGAAGCTGGGGTATGTTCTCGCGGTAATCAGCAGAAACGGAGGCGGTGCGGGACGGATTCCGCGCGAGATCGGACTACTTGGGCACGTTTCCGAATGGCGTTGTTGTCCCCGCCGAAGGACTTCTTCACCGGGCTGCCCCCGGCTCCGGGGGGCGGCGCGGGGAAGTCGTCAGGGTCCGGGGCCCGCGCGCCTCTCGCCGCACAACATACCCGGGCGGAGTGCGTGATTTTCCTGCGTCGGGGACAAAGCCTTCCCGCCGACAAATCCCCTCCACCAGCCGCACGGCCCGCTCTGCCAACACTCGGCCACGCACGCCGCGCGCCAGAGGGCGTTCCTCTATAACAAAGTTGCACCGTGCCCAGGGCACGCGCACGGGGGAAGGGGCGGGGAGGGTTGGCCCGGGGGCTTAAGGCCCTGGAGCACAGCGCGGCTACAGGCCGGAGAAAAGAAAGGGTGTTGTTATACGTGCCTGTGCCTTGTCCGGCAGGTTCACTGGACCAGTCGAGGGGGGAGAGAGAAAGACGGGTATTGGTAAGCAGGAGATCAGCCCAAGTGACATGCGACGGGGTTATCGAGACAGCTGATGCAGACGGTTCAACATTTTTTCAAAGTATTCTCAGCAAAAGTTTTTCTTTTCAATTCAAATCTTTGTTCAAAGCCCTCTCTGCCTAAAACTTAAGGTATTTTCTGTTTTCTCCTTTTCTCCTTTCTTTTGTCTGTTTTGCCATGCGCAGTTTTTCAGTTAAATAGCAATTGCGGGGATTACAGAGACCAGAATAAGAAAATCTGGTGTGTACTAATGTTTGTTTGTTTTTCATTCTTTCCCCCAGGACTTGGAGATCAAGGGCCAGATGGTGTACTGCCCTGAGTCGGACAGCCTGCTGTTCGTCGGCTCGCCGTACCTGGACGCTCTGGAGGGACTGACGGGCCGGGGGCTCTTCATCTCGGACATCCCGCTGCACGACGCCACCCGCGACGTGATCCTGGTCGGCGAGCAGGCGCGCGCGCAGGTGGGTGTCAGGGGCTGCTGTGGTGGCCGAGGCCTGGAGCATCGGAATCCCGAGTTTTACAACGAGCTTGGTGTCGGGCGTTGTCGGGGGCAAAGGGTGGCTCAGCGCCCTCCCCAGGCCGGCCACCACGGCTGGGGGAACATCTGGATTCTGCGTTTCTATTATTCGGCCTCAAAAGTCTTGGTCCAATATTCCGAGCCATAAAAAAGGAAGGGAGAAATATGCGAGGGAAATGGGGAGTGGAAAAAAAATGTAATGTGGCCGCGAGGAGGAATCATGATGTCGTCCAAGAATGACGTGACGCAAACGGCGTGTTTTTTGTCGTCGTTTTGTATTATTATTTGCGCCAGCATACTGCACCGCTGTTTGTCAAGACGAGGGAGACAAGTGGAACAGGGGGGTGATGTTGGGGGGAGCTCTCGGCGAATATTGTGCCGAGTCGACACAAAAGAGCACTGCATTATGCAAATGGCGTAACATGCTTAGTTCCGCTTCGGGCCTCGGGGTGACCTCGCAGCCGTGTGGCAGGTGTGCCTGGGTACGTTGGGAGGGGAGAGGGGATGTTCAGAGAGAATAATACGTGTGCCCTTTTATTTTGTGCTCGCCCAGATTGTACCACGCAGATTAAAATGGGGCGCGTAAAAGCGGGAACGAAAATGGTTGCGCTTTTGGTCGAGGTTTCGCCATGCAACGCCCGTGCTCTGCCCATTTTTTCTTCCCTTTTTTGTTGTCTTTGTTGTTGGTTTTACCTCCATATTTTGTTCGCATCATGTCGCGGAGAGGTCACCCCTTTGAGCCGCTGGTAGAGAGCGTTTGCTGCCGTGAGGTGTTGCGCGGCACGGCCTGCCGGCGGGGAGAGCTGGGAGAGCACAGAGAAAGGAGAGAGCTTTTCTCTGCTGTATAGTTCTCTCCCCATCGTTGCCACCTCTTGGAACTTTCAAGTCGCTCTGGAACGCCTGGATCTCCTAGAGAGGGTGCGACCTCTTTTGCCGGCTCTGCGCACAAGGGCGCCACCTTTTCCCTCTAATATTTATTTCTCTCTCGGAATTCGCTTCCCCGGCTGCTGGAAAGCCAATTCGCCCCGGTTTCCCCCACCCGTTCCGGCCCCCCAGGTATCGCATCGTAGGGCAATGAATGACCCAATCGTTTTTCATGCCATTTTTCCTGCATTTTCTCCTTCTCGGGGGTCAGGACTCTAAAATATACTAATATCAATAAAACAATTGCAATAAATGGCGAGCCGGGGTGCAGTCGCCGGTGCATTGCGGTGCAATCAGAATGAACACCCATTTATATATCTCCAGAGTAAAGGTGAGACTGCAACGACCCCCTTATTGTGCGTTGTGCAGTCTCGCGAGGCGGCTAGTCCTCATTATCATTGCATTTGGCTCGAGCGGAAGGCGTGGGAGGCTTGAGGCTTGCTCAGCAGGAAGCGATTACGTGCTCAGTCCGCCCGCCCGGGCGGAGCCCGGCTGTGCGGGCCAAGGAGATCTCCTATGCCCCCTGCACTAACCGCACACCGACCGCCGCTCGGCTCGCCCACTCGCTGACGAGGTAGGCGACGAGGAGGATGGGCTACCTCAAATCTGAATGAAAATGTCGTTACATATTTACCCAAATTAGTTTCGCGTACTACACTGATTGCTACAGGATTACGGGCTAATTAGTTCGCAGTGCCTCTGTTTAGCAGCCAAAACATTGTATTTTGGGCACTAAATCCAAGGTTGAGTTTGGAAGGCGGAAAAAAAACTGTGAACTCTCCGACCACCTTCAAGCCGGCGAGAGTTCGCAACGCGGCCAGCAGGGAGCAGGGCGCACTCGCTATCCGTGATAGCCCTCCAGCGAGGCGGACGTCGTCTCCCCTCCCCAAACCACCTTCCCCCTACCCCTCACCCCTATCCCGATCCAAAACACCTCGCCACTCCGCGCCTGCCACGCCGCGCCGCCCCGCGCCCGCGTTACCAGGATGCGTAAATCCCCAACACCCAATAAACCCTCTGCTTTGAAAGCACACACACAAAGTCCCTCGTTGCGGCCGTGTGCAGCCAAACCAAAACACAAACCGGAATAGTACACTGCGGGCGAGGGCGAGGCAGAGCCACCCTCCGAATGGGCGCATTCACGAGCAGTTGTCAAAACACCATGAAAAGAATTTGGTTTGATGAATAGTTCTTCTTCCTTCTTGAAGAGATTCAATTTATTAAAGTTGTCTGTTGCTGCGGGTGGTAGCTGTAATATTTTTATCTCTCTTGATTCTCCTGATTGAAATGGAAACCGCTGGGTGGCTGGCCGTGATCGGCCCGTCAAACAGGAGGGAGACAACATACTAGCACCGGCACCTGCCATTCATTTAGCAATCGTGATGAAATATCAGCAAAAAAAATAATAACAAAGATCGACAAAGATCGACAAAGATGCAAATATTGTGATCACAACAAATATTGCGAAGCTGTTGCGTGAAAGTGTTGGTCGACACGGTGGACGGGGTTACCGTTACCGGCAAAGGGGATCCCACCATGCTCACCCTCCCACCTCCTAGTACGGTAAATCGTTGTCCTCAATGCCTGCGGCATTCCAAACTTTGCCGATCGGCTGCTCGGACAAACTGTTGCTTACTCACTTGGACACGATGAGCTCTTGAGGTTGATTTACAGTATAATCTTCTCTCTCTCTCTCTCTCTCTCTCTCTCTCTCTCTCTCTCTCTCTCTCTCTCTCTGACTTACACACCCACTTTTCTCTCTCCCTCTTCCTTTGTATTTCGCCCCTTAGGGGGACAACCACTGTGACTGTTTGGGTTACTTTCGTCCAGTTGTTTTCCGTTTGATAGATCGGTGTTGCGTTCGTCCGGCCCGTTTTTGTCCTGAGTAATCGAGGTAACCCGTTGGCGGCCTGAGAGGAGGAAGGAGTCAACTTCTTCTTCTTCGGCTTTGCAATCCTCTCTTTTTGTCGCCCCCGTTTTTTTTCACATCGAGTTCCAGTACGCACAGAGAGGATTGGAGACGAAAAACGAAAATAAATCCCCAAGGGAAAAAAAGGAAAGAGACGAAGGGAAAATAAGAGAGAGGGCGAGAAAGGGAGGGATGGGGTTTTGGAAGAGGGTGGGAGCTGGTCGCCTAAATGTAAAGCTCATTGCGCCGGATTTGCGAACCAACCTGCTAAGCTCTGCCTCGGCGAGTGAAAAAGCAAAAGCGCGCGGGATGGTGGGTTAGGCGTCGCCCCGGGCCCTACACTCTTAACATAAAGAGCATGGCGGTTTCGGAATCCCAGCATCGTGACATCTCTCGCACGCGTGAACATGTGTGGGGTTTGTGTGAACGTGTGGTGGGGTTTGGGGCGGGTGGGGCGCGGCTGGGGGGCTAACCGACCCGAGCCTCGTGTCAGCTCGCTTCTTTTGGGAATCATCAATCATAAGGCCATTCTTGGGCCGCCGCGCTGCCGCGCCACACCCTGCCGGCCCAGTCGCGCCACGCTGCGACAGGGACGCGCATCAGCCTCTCTCCACCGCCCGGGCGCGCCCGTCACAGCGTGTAGTACATCGACATTCCTAATGAAGGCACAGTCCATTGCCCTTTCTACTGTTGGCAATCAAGTGGAAACGCGGAGCATCCACGCTGGGGGCAAAAAATACACAAGATTAATTGTGTTAAGCGCGATTAAACTCGGCTTGTTTGCTGTTGCGGGGTCAAACAATCTGTCAAAAATGAAAGCATGACATGATAAACAAATCTTCTCCTCTTGAAAAACGTTTTTATCTAATTTTAAATTTCAAATGTTGAATTGAAATAATGTCATGGCAAAGGCTTCCAGCCGTATCGTTTCTCTAGAGAACTTTCTTGTGCAAGGAGCACGTTTGATAATATGGGCCCCAGCATCTCCGTAAACCAACAGTCAGGTGGTGCGTTAAGTGGAGTCCCCCCGGTGGCGCCGGCCCTGGAGCCAGCCGGCGCCTCCCCTGGCGCGGGGCCCTAATGGCTTTCGCACAGACCGCGCCGCGCTCGCGCCCCGGCAAGTCCTAGAGGGGCGGAGCCATTTGCGCGCGCGTTTTAAAAAGCCCCGACGCTGCCGCCAGCCGCACTCGCATGGATACCCGCTCAGCCCCGCCGTCGCCTTCCTAGTTTTTCACCTTGCGGCTTTACTATGGGAAAATACGAGCAGAGGGGGCGAGAAAAGGCTGTGAATGGTGTCTGCCTCTCTCATCGGTATTCAGAGAGGTGTGCGGGGCCGCGGCGTTATTCTTTCTGCTCCGAGTGTCCTGCCCGCCGCGGCTCCGCGCGCCGCGCTCGCCTTTTCAGAGAGGTTATATGGAGGGATCCGCCGGGGCCGCTCTGGGCCCGCGCACGCGCCCGCCCGTGAGAGCGGGGGCACCCGGCGGCTGGCACCCCCCTGGGCGGCGCGAGAAAAGGGTGGCGGAGCGCGAGTCAAACTTGCTCTGCAGGATTAATTATAGACATTTTTTTTTCAAGTCTTTACGATAGTGAGGTGGCGGGGGTTTTATAGCCGCTCGTATAAACCGGGGAAACCTTGGACGCGATGCAAGCGCTGCAGGGGATGCTGCGGAGGGCGGAGGGGCAGCGCGCGCAACCTCGGTTTTGAATGGGTCGACGCGTGGGTAAAGCGCGGGAAGGAGATTGGGCGCCCAGCCATACCGGAGATACTGGGTCCGATTTGCGTTGCCGCCGCCCCTTTGCCTTTGCCTCCCCATAATACTCCGTTCCCTCTCCCCCCAGCGCCCTTGCCCCGCCTCGGCCCCACTCATCTCTCCCTTTCTCCGTCTCACCCCATCAGTCGGACCGCGTCTCTCCAGCAGCCGCAAACCTAACCATATTTCCGCAATTTGCGAACCATTCCGCTGGAGTGCTAATCCCTGCAGTGGGTCCCCCAGCCGGACCACCCCCTCGCTACTTTCATTTCGCGCTTACGAGCTCCCTTTCAGTTTGCCTATTTCTGTGTTTTGTGCAGTCCCTCTCTCCCTTCCCACGTCTTCTTTCTCGTGACCCCCCCCTTGTTGTTGTCCCCTTCTCTGGCGACATTTCAGACTGGTCTTGGCCCCCTCGCGCCTCGCGGAGCACAGAGCCCTGCGGCTCCGCCCGACTCCGCCCGCCTCGCCCAGCCTCTACTCGCCCTCGCACTGAATATTGACGACCCCCGCGCCCGCGCTGCGAGGAAACTTGTTGATGGTCTGTGTTCTGTTCCCTTCTAACTTCATCACGAACCTGCTGCTAGTGGTCCGGGTCCGCCCTCTGGCCTGCGGGCCCTCACCCCGGCCGCCCCCCCCCCCCCCTCAAACCCTTCTTCGTCTCCCCAAGATGTTACAGACACAAGCACCCCGCTGTAAGTTTGTATATGTCGCGTCACTGCCACCACAATGGCGTTGGTCTCATTAGCCCGGCGTGTTAAGACGGCAGACGCCTGCTTCACAATTTCATTTCAAGTTTTAGAACTTGAAATGGATTTATTAAATGTTTCCCATGTTTCCTCGCCGTATACGCCCGCATTTTTCATGACTGGCAAAAATAAAATGAGATGGCAATTCCCATCGTGAAAAAGAGTCTTAGGGTTTACGGGATAATTTTCTTGTTCTGTAAAATTACAATTTAAAATTGTAAAATTACGAGATATACCTTACCTATCGACTTGAAATTCATCGAAGAGCAAGATTGTTCTCGTGAAAATTTACAACATATGAAATGCAAATTACAAATCATACCGTGAATTACGAGGATATTTTTGGCGGTGCCCCGATTAACATTTTTCTTGTCCGCGGGATTGTCGATTCCCGCGGGCGCCCGCTCGACTGGCGCCGGCCCGCCGTGCACTTACGCCGTGCCATTGCCTCTGATTGGAGCTCGCACCGGGGCCGGGCCGGCTGCCGGCTCGGGGTCGGGCGGGGCGCGCAAGAGAGTATCACTGCAAAAGCAGTTTCATTCCTATTCCGATCCGGTATGGAATGGGGTTGCGCGCCGCCGAAAGTGCTAGCCTGTGCGTTGCGGCTGCGCGGCTGCGGCGGTCCTCTGGCGGCCCCCGCCTCCCTGTGAGGTACCCCGCAGGGATAGAGCGCTACCAGAGAGGAGCGCCGGGCTCTATGTGGTCGGTCTCGCCCTGCTCTTCTCTCGAGAGGGCTCCCACTCTCCACAGGTGAGGTGCTTTCCGCACGGAATAGAGCGTTACTACTCCTCCACCCAGAGAAGCGTGCATACTCTAATGTCTCGAGTTCAATTTGGCGCTCAATCCAAGCCCAATTCAGCCGTGAACCAAGAGCATGCATTTCAGTAGGGGCAAAGGAAAAGGATACACAAAACTTTTCGTTATTTTTAAGTAACGAATACATCCGTAAAATGACGAACAGCCTGTTACTCGGCTGTGCAACAGTGCAACAACCCGGCCACAATAACACGACGGTCGTAGAAACAATGATTCTTTTTTATTTTCAGTGTACAGGAACATTTTTTGCTGGGTTCTGGGTTTGCTCGGTTCTCGACCGCTCTCTCCCACCCTAGGTGAGGTACCTCGCCGAGATGGAGCGCTGCCAGAGGAGCGCCGGTCGGTGTCTCTCCTCGCGCCCGCCTGGCGCCTGGTGGGCCCCGAATATGTGAAAATCCCTTAATGAAGGGCGGGGAAAGAAAATCCCCTTTCGCCTTTTGGGCGTCCTATAATTAACACTGCTGAGGGGCGAGGGGGGTGACGAGAGGGGAGGCTCTTCCACACTCGTCTGGCTTCTGATGACGAGGAAAACGAGCCAAAAACGTTTCGGGTCACGGAGCAGCAGCAGCGCCACGGCCTGCCCCGTGTACTTGCTGATGCGTTCGGAGCGCGGCGCGGCAGGCGGGAGGGACGGGGGAGGGGTGCTAAACAGGGGATGAACTTCTTTCGGAATAATTTCCGCTTCATCTCCTGCCCCCTCCCCCTCCCCCCTTCCCCGCCCCGACATTTCAGTCTTATTAAGCCGGCGGATCGTCGCCCCGTGCTCAGCATCACGCCACGCTGCGCCGCGCCACGCCGCAAAAGGGCCAACTATTTGGCGTCGCTTGCATGAGCAGGCGTACGGCGGGGCCTAACTCATTCGCAACTCAAATTTAGCGGATATCGTCTCGGATCTCTGTCTCTCGCGCTGCTCTCTCTGCTCTCTCTCTCTGCTCTCTCTCTCTGCTCTCTCTCTTCTGTCTCGACCTCTTCCCTCTCGAGACAGCCGCCCAACTTGCAGGCCTTGCAGAGGTGTGTGTATGTATGTGTATCTGTGTGTGTGTAGGGAAGGGGGAGGGTTCAGCTGCCCGTATAGAACGCACTCGTCTAGAAGGAATGAGTTACCCGTACCCGAACCTAGAAAACCATATCTTTTTAACAACGAAAATTTGACGTTGCCAAAAAAATTTGTTTGCTCAGGGAGTTTTTTTTAATTTAACAAACATCTTTTTTAATTTGACAAAAATTTCGTCGGACCGAATCGAAATTTTCGTCATCTTAAGGAAAAACGTTTCTTTGACTTCTGCAATAAATTTTCGTTAAAGTAAATAAAATTTCTTTACGCCAAAGAACACTTGCTCCCTGTGGCTGCAGCCATGGCGTGATCTGGTCTGGCCTGGGGTGAAGGTGGTGGATGATGACACATTTGGCATCGAATGGAAAAAAAAATTGTCTATCGGGTATCAACCCTTATGTGGGTTGGCGCTCTTGCTCGCGAGGTCGGCGAGATGCCCACAGTGTTCTCATTTTCTATCAGTATCATTACTGCTGCGAAAAGTGTACACAAAACATTTCTTCCCAGCTGCGTCAATTAGCTCGGTTTTTAGACTCTAAGAAAGAAAAGCAGTCCGAAATAATGTGGTTCTGTTTTTTCCTCGGCAGGACGGACTGAGACGGCGCATGGACAAGCTCAAGTCATCCATCGTGGAGACCACGCAGGCCGTGGACCAGGAGCGGGAGAAGAACGTGAGCCTGCTGCATCTCATCTTCCCGCCGCACATCGCGCGCCGCCTCTGGCTGGGCGAGCACATCGAGGCGCAGGCGCACGACCACGTGACCATGCTGTTCAGCGACATCGTGGGCTTCACGTCCATCTGCTCCACGGCCACGCCCATCATGGTCATCAACATGCTGCAGAGCCTCTACACGCAGTTCGACCTGTTCTGCGGACAGCTCGACGTTTACAAGGTGCGTAACGCGCCCATGAACGCCTTAGAGATGTGTAGACACTTTTATAGTGGAAATATCGGGAAATATTGACAGTTAAAAAGAACCTTGCATAATAATATCAGAAAATTAACATAAGTTTCAATCATGTTAATCAAAAACTTTCTAATGAAAGATTTATCAGAAAATAGCGCAGTAAATAATGAACTAAGAACTAAACCCGTTGTATTCTTTTGGACCTGCAGGTGGAGACGATCGGCGACGCGTACTGCGTGGCGGCGGGCCTGCACAAAGCCAGCACAGAGCACGCGTGCCAGATGGCGTGGATGGCGCTGCGGATGCTGGACGCGTGCTCCGAGCACCGCACTCACGACGGCGAGCCCATCCGGGTGAGTGTGAACGCGGATCGTTAAAACTAAACGTGTCCCAAACGCGCCCCTCTACCGGAGGCGGGCCAACCTTTTTGTTTGTGTTTTACTGGCCGGTCCAGGCTCTTCATGAACATGATGTGGTGCCGTCGGAGACACTGCCATCGATACTTTCCCTTTGCATCCTATTTTTCTTCCCGCGCCCCTGCATCTCTTGAATACCGCTTCCTGCGCCACAAGCTCCGCGCCCCCGCAGACTGCACGGCGGCGGCAGCCGGACTCGCTTCGGGCGACAGCCGATAACGATAACCAAAAACAAAAAAAAGAAAAGAAATCATAAATACTCCGCGCCGCAAGAAACTTGGGATGGATGCTTTTGCTCTCTGTGCGAGCGCCGGGAGGCGGCGGCGGCGCCTCTTTTTTTGTCTTGCTCTCGTTTCCGCGCTGAATATTTATTATTGCCAAGATAAAGCGCGCCGGGGCCGCCGTGCCGCAGGTAGCGCACGGCCGTATGCAGATGAGCCGCCGGGGCGACAACTATAGCGTTAAAAACAAGAGCGGGGGCGGCACAGCAAATTTATAGTGGTTCCTGACCATGCTGCCCGGGCGCCTTATCCGGTACGGGGATCTATGGCAGGGAGGATGTGGCGACCTGGTGGCCCCCCGGAGGCGTTGAAAATCCAATCAACACATGTTACCCGAGAACAGCGTGTCTCCCCCATTGGCCTCATCCGCTCTGGAAAGTGTATATCCCCGTTGGTCGAGATGAATGCCCCCGTTGCTCCACGGGACGATCATCTTTCGCGATGTCGTTATCGTGCTGATCTGATTGAAGTGGCCTTTTATTGCGTGTTCCCCGCCATGCCTACTGGAAGTAGGCCCCTCCTCCGCCTCCTCTGTTCAGATGAGATCACGCTCTCGCCCTGCATGAAATTGAAATTGAAGCAGAGGTCCCCCCGCGGGGCCCCCGGCGCCATTTTAATATTGAATGTGATCCGTCAGCCAGTCCGTGCTTTCCTTTCCGTTCTGTGACTCGACCAGCCCCCCACCCCGACCCCCACAATTTTTTTTATTTTATTTTTATACATTTTTTTTTGTCGGGATTACCCTTTAGAGTGGCGCTTGCGCGCAGGCAGGCTCGGCGGCCCCGATCTCCTGCGGTGGGGATTAGGATTGGGTCGGGGCAGGGCGGGGCCGAGCGGGACCCGGCCGTGAGGTGGAGGTGAGCACATCCCCCGCCGCCGGCCTGCCAGCGAAAAATTAAATTTCATTACGTCCGAGCTCATTATTCTCCGGCCGTCCCTCGGCTCGGCCGTGCCGGGGCTGCCGGGGCTGCGCGCGCGTGCTTCCGCCTGGCGGCCCCGCGCCGCGCGGCAACACCGACCAAGATTAATTCTTACCGAAACAAACCACCACCACCGCTCCAAGGGGCCACGCAGGAGAGCGGCCGCGGCCGTTTAGACATTATATCCGCTGAGATTTAGTGCAGGGTGCTCAGTTTGTCACAGGTGCGCGTGCATTCGATGGGCCAGATGTGGGACCTCGGTCCGTGTACCACGTGCCGGTAGTAAATCAAATCGCACGAGAAAATGGCGAAACGTTAACAAAGAGCAAAGCAAAACCAAAATGTACTGGGCTCAAAACATTAATGTCTGTTTAGTTTTGCTAGGAGTGAAGGGCTCTGGCCCTCACGGATTGAATACTCTGTTTGTTGAACCGTCAAAAACTCTCGCCAAGTATGCAAATTGAGTCTCATTCACATGAAAGTGTGCTTTGCGAGTCTTCCCGGCTGGCGCACGAGCTGGCGCCGCCCGCTCGTCTCGCATGGCTAGTTGTCTAATGATCCGCTCGGCTGCGGATTAGTGAGGAGGAGGAGGAGGAGGACGAGCTGGCGCCGCCCGCTCGTCTCGCATGGCTAGTTGTCTAATGATCCGCTCGGCTGCGGATTAGTGAGGAGGAGGAG